ATGGGGTGTCTACAAAGTTTGTTCAAATAAAAGCCCTGGGGTCAAAATTGGCCCCGCCCGGGGGTCATTGATTTTCCTTAAATGTGTATGGCAAAAACTTAAAAAATCTTCTATATGAAAAAAAACCCAAATAGCTAGAGTTTAGATATTAAGAAATGAAACATCTTCTAGTAAGTGTCTACAAAGTTTGTTCAAATAAAAGCCTGGGGTTAAAACTGGCCCCGCCCCAGAGGTGTCATTGTTTTTAACTATATGTGTATAGTAAAAACTTAAAAAATCTTCTTTTAAAAAACCCAATGAGCTAGAGGTTAGATTTTAAGCAGGAAACATCTTTTTTGTTGGTGTCTACCAAGTTTGTCCAAATAAAAGCCCTTGGGTTTAAATTGGCCCTGCCAAAGGGGGGAGGGGGGCGGAGGTCATTGTTTTTCATTATATGTGTGTAGTAAAACTTAACATCATGAAACATCTTCTAATGGGTGTCTTCCAAGTTTGCTCAAATAAAAGCCCTGGGGTTTAAACTGGCCCCGCTCCGGGGGCCTATATACAGGTGAGCGACCTCAGGGCCATCATGGCCCTCTTGTTACCTTAATAACAAAATTAAAAAAATAAGAAAACAAAGATCATATTTATTTCTTTATCACAGTCTTTACCATATCTTTGTAATTAAAGATCATGTAAGTTATGTTTCAGGTTGTTACCAATTGAAATTGTATATACATGTATATATGTATTAATAATTATGGTACTAAAACAATTTTCAAACATAAAGGAATATGTTAAATACGTACTGCAAATGCTTGTCCTTGTTATATGTAATCATTCAAATATACATGAATGCATAATGCATTCATTTCTTATTGAAGAATTCAACTTACTCTTAATAGAAAATATATTTCTAATTACCTCCCTTTATGAAATGTAAATATGGTATTATCTTTACAAATAATGCTTTTCGGAACATACACTATTGAAAAATCTTCATTTGAGCATTATGTTTATGATATAAAACCATAAAAATGATTTCAGCATTTTTAAATGACGTTAAAATAATAACAATAATACAAGAAAATCACAGACAGCAAAACCCTGCCGAAAAAGGAGGAAGTACATTTCATAGGGGAAGTAACCCTTACATACATGTAAAAATTCCAAGTAATGACACTCGTGAAAATTAATGAAAAGTTATGGCCTAGACATAAAAATCATGACAAAAATAAAACTAAAAAATAAAAAAAAAAAAACAAAGAAGCATTAAGTGACGCTTCTGGTCATTATGCTCTGCTATTCACTTCTATTAAACATGTTCAATATAAAGTTTCAAGTTTATATCTCAAATACCTTTAGAGGTATGGTCCTTGCAAACTAATGATAGTGAATACAAAGAGCAATAACTCCAAATCTGGAGAATTGTCATTCTTGTTTGCGGTATTTTACTTTATTGAAATATATCCTCCAGTGAAGTTTCAGATGAAAAGATCCTTTATGACATATTGTCCAAAAATTAACGCAAAAAACTGAGCAAAAGACAATTACTTCAAAGAACTATTATTCTTGTGTTTTCTAGAGAATTCCTCCTCACTGAGATATATCCACAGTTGGTATCTAAAATATTTGCTCCAGCTATGCCGTGCCAAGATGTCCTGCCATGTGCTTCCTTACGTCGCAATGTGGTTTATACCTTTTCCCATACTGGTCACAAACACAAATACATTCTGCAAAACAAAACGTTATTATAGTTTTAAAATGTATAATCAATTTGTTTCTTATTTAAGCGACTCTTTTAAACGAGGAATTGTTTCAACACAACCTTTTTTATTTATTCTCAGGCCGATAACTAATCCTATATGAGCCGCGTCATGACAAAACCAACATAATGGGTTTGCGACCAGCATGGATCCAGATCAGGATCCATGCTGTTCGCTATCAGTTTCTCTACTTGTAATAGGGTTTGTAAGCGAACAGCATGGATCCTGATCAGACTGCGCGGATGCGCAGGCTGGTCTGGATCCATGTTGGCCTCAAACGCACTATGTTGGTTTTGTCATGACGCGGCTCAATTATTTACGAGACTGTTTAGTGATTTAAATATTAGTATCGTATTTTAAAAATGCTGTTTCATTGAATGCTCACTGATTATATGAATATATGAACGTGAATATAAAGATATTTTGAAAAAATAATAATATCTTAACACAGCAATGTGCTTTCAAAATTTGTATATATTTAGGTCCGAGTGGGAGCATCTCTGAAGTTGAGTCCGAGTGGGAGCATTTTCAATTTTTATAAAAAGAATTAAGAAAAACTGACTTTTGTATAGAAATATTTGAAACGTATATAGAATAATGGGTATACATGACTCGGTTTATGTTCCGGTACGTTAAAAATAAGTTTAAAGAAGGTTTTCAACCTTATTTCATATATATTTCGGGAGAAGTCCGAGTGAGAGCATTCAGAGATAAACACTTATGCCTAAACCAGGCAATAAATCTATAAACTTTTTTTACAATTACCTCAAGTACTATAGTCATTCTTTGGTGCGCTACATGACTTTTTAATACTCTTACGTTTTCTTATAATAAAATTGTATTTTACCTTCGAGTCGGCGAAAAAATGGTCCAAGTGGGAGCATTCAGCAGGTGCGCGATGACGTAGTATCCTACCATTGGTTTGGCAGTTATTAAATTACGTCATGAAATATAAAAATCCAGAGCCCTTGCCTCGATACTTATGAGTATTAATTAAGGTAATTTTACTAATATTACCGGCCGAAAATACGACATAGCACAATCAGCCACCATACTTATTTATCGCCTCTTTTAATAAATATTTAGGTGTTACAGTATTATAATGTGTTATTCCCTCACAATAGATTGTATTTCTAATGCAAATGCATATGTCTTTACATAAAAATACATACTTTGCATAAAACTTCAACTTAAAACGTGATCCCTGATCTATGGCCATTGAATATTATTTTGAGGAGTTATGTTTTTTTGGGGGGTTTCAGGGGGGAAAACACACTATTTTAATGGGGGAATGGGGACCATATTCGGCCCCAAATTTAATCAAACGAGAGCCCTGTTTACCCTCAATATTTCACTAAATGTGCAGTTTTTTCACTTACAAGTTCATGGAATACCATTTACTGACAAATAATTAGCTCTATATAAAAATCGCTATCATAAAAATCTAAAGCGATGAGCTACACAAACTTCTTTTCCTCGCACTTTTTTTCTTGTTTTTAACATGACGTCATATAAAAGCTTGCGACTTGGGTCTGAGTCTTATGTTTGATATATTTGACATGTTCAACAGTGACAACTAATTTGACACAAAGTCTTGTTTTTATCTGATACATTTAGTGACATTTTCGTCCGTGACAATGGTAAATGGGGTTTAAAAAGTACAAAATCATCCAATTGTCATTAATTACCTATGATAGTCTAGTAGATCTTTTGATACTACAGTATAAATATTTAAAGTTTATCTTTAAAATTAAGGTGCAGATTTTTTTTCATTCAGCCACCCTTAAGTCTCCCTTAACTGGTAGATCTAATAAGTTAAATATCTTAACGATATAAAATAGATTTTAAAATATACTTCTTACTGTGTAATCCCTGCAAACAAAATAGACGTAAATAAAATCTTGTACATTATGTCTGTTTGTTTACCACCGTTTGTTATAAGTATGATATATTACCCGATTTCTATTTTTAGCAGGTCACACTGAATATCTTAACAGTAAACACACACTACATATGTGTCGTGAAAGTTCATTATATCTTGTTATCTATAGGTCTCTCATAGCTAAATTATTTACAAATATTGTGTCGAAAACCGGTAATATATTAATAAATTCACTTTATCTTTTCAATTCTTTCTTTTTTGTTGTTGGTTTTCTTTTGTCCTTTTTTGGTTTTTCATTTTGGCGCGTTATATATGAGCCGTGTCATGACAAAACCAACATAATGGGTTTGCGACCAGCATGGATCCAGACCAGCCTGCGCATCCGGTCTGGATCCATGCTGGTCGCAAACCTATTATGTTGGTTTTGTCATGTCACAGCTCATATCATATTTTTGGTAATTTAGAGTGCTTTTATACGTGCGAGTACTGCCGTGTATACTTTAAGGCATCCTGCGGTAGAGAGCGTTCATGTAGTACGCAGCATGACAAAAAATAGTCACCCCCACCCTCAACAACACTCTAGCTGCAGGTGCTGTTTGATAATGTGAATACGCCCTTTTCTCGTAATAACAATCTCCTGAGCATGCCTAATCAAATTATTGTTTGTAATTTGTTTATTGTTAATATAACGTATGTATAAACTAATGACAAAAACTATTTACAATGAAAACCAACGATTAATTTACATCTTCTGAACTGATCAGTTGTTTTCAATAAAAATAAAATCACAGATACACATTTGCTTTGTTATTCACGAGCACGTGTATGTTCCATGTCATAAATTGTATTTTCGCAAACGTTATTAACACAAATACATTGCATACGCTACGAAATAAAATTACTGTTATGTTCTGTTCTATCATTAACACAAATACATTATGCAAGATAATGATAGCACAAAGTTAACATAATTTATAACAATTATTACGACACAATAAAATTTGGAGGTTCCATCGGTTATCACCAGTTATCACACTAGCAAAATCAGTGCCATAATTGCATAACATAAAGTTTTCAGAATTTTGAGGCAATTTCAGAGCGTGCCGGTGGTTGATTTCTTTGTTACCACTGCTGACCAGGCCCAGGCCTTGCGTTTGTGGTCATTATTGTTACAGGCGAGCCCGCACCCATCTGTCCCGGTACATGATATGCTTGAACTGTAATAATAACATAATCTATTTATAATTACCTGCAAAATTGAAAAATCGTATTATCCAACATTTCTTTTTAAAAAATTAAATTAGAAGAGTGATCAAAATATCGGTGAAAAATGTAATATAGTTTGTTTATTTAACCATCCTGTCCAATATTGATTATTAATATAGTATTCAAATCAGCGCGGTTCTATCTCAAAGCATTAGTTCTTTAAAAAGTTAATAGAAAGCGATTTTAACTACATGAACCACTTTAAGATGTATAATTAATTGTTAAAATACATCGATCTAGAGCAGTTTCCCAAAACCGGGTATGTTCTTTGAATCGGAATACAAACATATATATTTTTTTTCTTTAAGACTATATCTTTCCACAATTTCAAATCAACAGAGGCCGATGCCGGTTGAAATAAGTTTGTCTGACCTAAATATAAACTTTTCCATTTCAGATACTGAACATATGCATGGAGGTTTCAAACGCGCAAAAACATAATGTATATTCTTGTAATTTGCATTAGCCAAACTGCTTTGTAGTTATCTCGCGAGGAGTATATCGCATAATTCTTATTTTAGGGTCATCGCGATTTATTAATGTACAAGTACTTACCTGTAGATACCATTGGCTGGACAACATGTCCTGATTGTCCTCTTGATTTCCGACAGCAACACATTACGACAACAATGACTGTTGCTACACCGGCTACTAGAAATGTTGACCCTAACGAAATACCAACAATCAACCCAACGTTACTGAAACGAACAAAAATCGAGAGAGGTAAATTTACATGTTTACGTATAATTTGGTAAAGTCATTGACCATTGATATGTGATTAAGTGGTAAATGTCGATTTCTTTGAACCATATGTCCCTCACCGCTGTAGATTTAAATATAACGCTAGGGACTTTAGATTCGGTCTATTCTTACGAGGAAATAATAGTACATTGGTGGCAACACTCGCATACCAGCGTGTGTCCGAAATAATGAACAGAAGGGAAATGAGCTTTCTACAACTAGACAACTAGGAACGCTGCAAATTCACCATTTGACCTTCAAAGTATCGAAATTCAACAAATGTGACCTGAGTTTGATTAAACTCTTTAAGTGGACTTGATCAACTCTCTTGATTAATTTGTTAATTCCTCAGATGTAAAACAAAAACCACGTAAACCATTTACAATCTTTGCAGATGCATGTACTATAAATAAAAAAATGATTGGTCGGTAGCTGGAATCCCAAAAAAATATTTTATTCATCATCAATTTGCCTTATCGTGTAGCCAAACAATGTCAAATGATTGCGCATTTATCATGTAGCCAAACAATGTCAAATGACCTAGCACTTAACCAGAGCAGATCTGTCTAGTCTTTTTCCAACGTAGCTTCTCATAATTTTAAGACTTCTTGTAACTAGGAAACATAATGTGTTATGTAAGGAAATCACATTTTTAATCGTACGCAGAATTTAAATTGATATGACGTGGAATTAATTACTAACTTGTTATGAACACAACAATATTGATTGTTATTATCTCCGCAACAACCATGTAGACAGTTCAACACTGTATTCTCATACAAATCATATGTAGCAGAATATTTAGCATTAGTACAAATCTCCGCAAATGCACCTGCAAATCAGAGATGAAATAATAATGACAAATAAAGAATTGCTTTGAGTAGTTGTGTTCATTAAAAGCAACAAAATTTGTGACAACCTTGATATATTCAGAAACCGATGAAAGAAGGAAAGTCGTATATCTGTTGACATAATGATTAAATGAACCAATTGTTAGTTTAGTTTATGCAAATTTATTTCAGTTTGATTGTTTTGGAAGCTATAAAAGCTTTTAAAACACACTCGAACCAACTGGAAGTTACCAGTGAATTTAAAGTTGTTAACATAACACAAGACACTTAAATGCAAAAGGAAGGTCTGTCGGTCGAACGGGCAGCTAGCGTGTTCTAATACCCTCAGAGTTTGACAGTATGATACAACTCTTTCATCTAAATTGGGATATTATTCTTTCAAATTCATGGTACAGTCTTGCCAATTTATTTTCTTTTCTTTCAGTAGCAAAAAGCCTTTGTCGGTGTTTAGCGGCTTTTCCATTGTTAAATTTCAAAACGGGCATTTTCAATAAGTAAGCTACGCCATAATCCGTTGTTAAATATATATCTTAACTGCTCACCAGGCCGCTAATAATATTTTTCCTCTAGATACCTTTAGTACTAAACCATGCACCCTTAAAAATAAGACACTTCCATTATCCACTGTTTAATAGAGAAAAACAGAAACTCTCAAGAAAGCTCAACACGGCAAAATTGAAAAATGTTGTAGGTTCGGTTTGATCGAATCTGTTTATGGACGGTACTGGAAAGTGCAAGTTACCGTCCACCCCCCCCCCCCAGCACTGGTTTAAGCAGAATTCAACATTGAAACATTACAATGGTAAAATTTTGAATTTAGAAACATCCGCATATGTGTTCATACGGCGTTTATTATGGAACCTTCAATGTGAAACAGTTATGTCATTCCATGAAAAGCGGCGTATGGTCCCCATGTAAATGAATGCGTGTGCCCTAAACGAGAAAACAGTAGGCGGAACTAAATAAAATGGAATTTTGAAAGGGGATCTGGGGTTATGAAGCCTGCATATCACAGACAAGACGTCAAAAGACACACTTAAAAAGCAGGCAACATATCCTTAGGGTGATTATACAGTATTCAAATAGGAATACCGGAACCACCCAAATTGAAAAAGTCCAAATACAAGAAACTAAAAATACCAAGTAAAATGTATACTCAACAATCAATTTTAAATAAATAAATTTTAAGTTTGCGAAACATATATCAAATTGAAAATCTTCGTTATTATCGTAAGCACAAACATCATTTCTAGTACATGTATCAAGTATCTTAACAGATATATATTTTGTTATTTTATTGCGCCCAACCAACGTAACCCCAACAAGTTCAGCGGTCAAGAACTCAGGAGGACCGCAAACAAAAACAGGACAGGACACAAGGCAGAGCACGGACAGGATAGTCCCTTCAACAACACATAAAAGGATATAATGGTTACCGACAAGGAAATAAAATACAATTGATTAACAGGCCAACAAAACAAAAGGGCAAAAGGAAGGGGACCTTTCTTATTTATGCAATTAATGTTGTTATATTTTCATCCTCAAAAGAGTTGCACCGCCTTTCCTTGTTTAGGGAAGATGCACAAATTAAAAAAAAAACTAGGGGCAAAACGGAAGCTACTTACAAGAAGGAACCTATAAGTGTCAACATAATAGAATTGAACAAGGTTGAACACTAAGCTTGCGGTATGTCATAAAGTAAAAGAGTTATAAAATTTTTTAATAAAACGTTTTATACTTTTAGTAAAGAAAACATAAAAATTACAATGACTCAAGATTTTCAATTTGAAATTACCTCCCCATAAAAATCAGGTTGCCTAATCCCTTGTCGCAGAAATGTTTTTAAATTTCTTTTGAATGTTAAGATTGTCAAATATGTATGTAATGTATGTATGTATTATAATAGCGGAATCCCTGTTTGAGAAGCTTGCAAGTAAATGAAAATATTTCGTTCGTTTAAATCCTTTACGTTGCTACAAGCTCTAGCAAATCTTATTAACTGAGATACATATACCCGTAATATGTTGCATAGGGTACGTCTCCATCTAAATGTGGATAATTTACTATACAAAAATCAAAGTCATCTCTTTTGTGTGAATAGAATTGTTGTTGATAGTTAAATGAAGATCCAAAAATGTTATACTACAATTTCAAGAATTCATTTAATTAAATTGTAGCTTATTGGGATAAATATTAGACACCATTTGATCAAAATAAGGATTATCTTAATTAAATATATCATCAAGGTATCTGGAAGTGTTATTTAATGCTAATATGACATGTTGTTGTGAATTTTTAGAGAGACTCAACATAAAGTCTCTTTCATAGCAATATAAAACAAATCGGCGACCAGGGATGCACAATTTGTATCCATAGGAATTCCTATGATTTGTTTAAAAAGGGTATTACCAAACCTGACATAAATGTTGTCTAAAAGGAAAGACAGTGCTCTACAAACTTCGTCATATTTACAATACAGTTTGTAATTAACACTTGATCGTGGCTGAATTGCATCGTTACAACAATATGGCCATTTTTATAACTTTCCTTTCCATTTGAACGCAACTTTCCAGTTTTTATCAATATAATCATCGCAACTTATAAACATAAACTGCTTTCGCGAATGGACGGACCGGTCATATTGACATTCTGTAAGACAATTAGTTTGTGTATTAATATAGTTCTTATAATGAGACCTACATTCAAGAATTGTGTGTTGTCTAAAAATTGAGGTTTTACAGGTAGGTTCCAATAAAAGAGAGATTTAACACGCGTCTATTTGGTTTGCCTAACCAGGGCGATAATACATGTACCAGATAAAAGTACGTACGATAACTTAAAGGGGTGGTTCAATTATAATACATGTATAATTGTTCACTATCTTTCAAAACGATTTAAGGGAAAATATGTAAAGGCATTGCCTGCATATCATAGATGGTCAAAATGGTCAAGTATTTAGATCTTAGGGCAGTTACATAACACCAGTATTTAAAAAGAGCCCAGGCATACCTTTCGATTGTTTCTCGGTTTTGATTTCATATCATTGATTGCACATTTTCCTGTTACTAGCTTTAGAAAGTTACTTCAGAAACAGACGCAATTTTGTCAAAGAAATAAATACACATATTCGCCTGTCAGTTTTTCAGCATCCGCGGTAGCAAGATACATGTACCTAGCTAGTATTTCTCAATTAATTAACAAGGACATACATGAAGCGTAGAATGCTTCCATAACCGGCGCATGTGTCAATGATTTCAGAACAGTTTAGTCAATAAAGGTGTCAAACATCTAAAAGAAATTATCTGTCACCTTGAACAAAGTTATGTCTGACTCCACTAAAGTAAAAGGACAACTCAACGTATCTATCTATTAATTATGAAAGACATAAAGTCAGTATATGGGCAAAATTGTTAAAATATTTTTTAATCAGTCTCATAACATTGACCTTGACCCAAGTGACCACTTTTCCACAATCGAAAGTTATAGAAACAACCATTGACAAGATATAGACCAACCTGGTAAGAAATATAACAGTAGAGAAACCAGAATCCATAAAGAACGTCCAAAACGACAAAATTGAAAATGTTGCAGGCTTAGAATGATTAAGTCAGTGTTAATTGCAAGCTACCGTACACGTCCTCTAGCACCGGGTTAATCGAATTCAACATTTAAAAATAAAAAATGGTGAAATTTTGAATTTTATAAACAGCCACAGATGAGTTCATACGGCGGTTCATAGGGATGGGCTACATGTATATAATTGAAAATCGTCCTTTATTGTTATCATTTAAGTAAATTCAAGCTGCTAAGAGTCGAGATTAGAGCCACTTTCTTTTTCACAACAGTAAATTTTATTTCTAAAATTAAATCTAATATATAAGTGGTATAACCACCCAGCATCTATATCATATCACGAAACTGTATTGTTATAAAATGTTTAAAATAATCACCTGTTAATCCTACAATCAAAATTAATGTAGACAAAAACTTATCCGCCATTTTCACTGTATGACACTATGTGATAGGCATGTGACTTATGCACATTAAATTCTAAAGATAGCGAGCACGATATCATGCATCCCCCGTTAGATAGAAATCACTACTTGACTGATACAGATACAAACCCAAATACATGTATATTGAAAGTGTCACGAAAAGAAAAATATAATGAAATAAAACAAAACAAAAGCAGTTTATTACAGTAAAAATATCCTTTTCAGATATAATAATATATAAATGGCATTAAAAGGTCACTTTAAAATGGAATTGTGAACTTATTCATTTTGTCATTATTTTATTAATGTGTGTAACTAAAATTTACAATAATTACAGGCTTTAATCGTAATTGTGCAATATTAAGCTTAAATGTTAGACCAAAAATTAACTTATTACACGTAACTATTTTGGCAATTTTTATAGTATGAGTGAGAGAATAATACATGCACCTTACAAGAACATTACATTGAATCAGAGTCATTTTTAGGATTCTAAAGTCATTTTTAGGATTCTAAGCATTGATGTGTTCCGTTACATACATTAACATGTACATAGTTATCTATGTTATACATATATTCAGTTTTTCTTGGTAAAAATACAATAATTTTCGATTGAAAAGATGTAATTGTGAACTAATCCATTTGGTCATTATTTTATTAATGTTTGTATCTAAAATTTACAATTATAATATTTATAGTACGAGTGAGACAATAATACATGTACCTTACAAGAACATTTCTTAGAATCAGTCATCTTTAGGATTCTAAATATTAAAAGCATTGATGTACTCCGTTACTTAGATTAATTTTACAGGTATATAGTTATCTATTTTATGCCGCCTAGTCATATTTGAGAGAGAGAAAGAGAGAGAGAGAGAGCTTTTGTCGAGAGAGGGAGATTTTGGCCGCCTTGTCATATCTGAGTGAGAGAGCTATTGTTGGGATGGGGGATGTGCTTTAGCCGCCTAGTCATATTTATGCAAGAGATCTTTTGTCGGGTTGCGGGCTTTTAGCTGCGTAGTCATATTTGAGCGAGAGAGCTATAGTTGTGATAAAGGGTGTCTTAAGCCGCCTTATCGTTTTTTGAGCAAGAGTGCTTTCATCGGGGATGGGGGCAGGGGGTGTGTGGGGGCTGTTTGCCGCCTAGTCATATTTGAGCAAGAGAGCTATTGTTGGGTTGCGGGCTTTAAGCCATCTAGTCATATTTGAGGGAGAGATCTTTTGTTGCATTGCGGGCTTTTAGTCGCCTAGTCATATTTGAGCGACAGAGCTATTGTCGGGGTGGGGCTTTAGTCGTTTAGTATTTGAGCAAGAGAGCTTTTGTAGGGTTGTGGAGTCGCATTGTCATATTTGAGCGTGCGTGAGAGCTTTTGTCGGATTGTGGGCTTATAACCGCCAAGTCATATATAAGGATTTTAAAAGAAAATAAGACCAAGTATGACACATAATATGAAAATTGTCAAGATTGAAGAAGAAATGAAAGCGTTGGAGTGGTAACAATGTGAAATATAACAGATATTGTAATTCAAGGGCAGATAATTCTGGACATATTGCTTAGGGTATGCGGATGCTAGAGTGGTAACAAGCTAAATTTGGACGGACAGATAGACAGGCGCATATTCAGGTGAGCTAAAATTAACACACAATTACACCTGATAATAACTGGTCAAAATTAACGAAAATCATATAAACTTAAACATATGGTTGTTATGCGGAAGGGCCATGTATTTTTGCCGCAAAATGTACGTCCGAAAAATGTGGACGATATGCGCCGCAAAACGTCCATATACGTACGTTTTGCGGAACGGACGTTGTGCGGTGTTACAGAGCCATGTTGATTGTAAAAAAACCAAGAAATTCTTTAAATTCTCCCTTTGCAAATTTTCGATTTCAATTATCGAGCAAGCTTGCAAGTGAACTCTCATTCGATATTCGGCTTAAGCTAGCTCTGAATAGGATCTTAGTGCTAGCTCGAAATTCAAATTCAGCTCGAAATTTGGCTTAAGCTTACTTTAAATCTCGATTTTCGAGCTGGCTTGAAATTCAACTACAGCATGAAATTCGACATTGTGCACACATTTTTATTTCGATCTTCTGGCTAGCTCAAAATTTCACCCCATTTTGAAGTTTGGCGTACGCTAACTTTGAATCTCTATCTGGTTCGAAAATCAATTCTAGTACGACTTTCGGCCAATGCAAACAAACTTTGAGCTAGCTAGAAATTCAACACGAAGCTCGAAATTCGGCTTAAGCTATCTTTAAATTTTGGTCATCGAGCTGCTCGAAATTCAACCCCAGCACGAAATTCGTCCTATGCAAATTTTAAATTCTAATCTTCGAACTAGCTCGAAATTCAATCTACCTGAAAATTCGACTTAAGCTAACTTTGAATTTCTATCTTCGAACTAGCTCGAAATTCAGCCCCAGCAAGAACCTCGACCTATTCAAATTTTGAATTTCGATCTTCGAACAAGCTCGAAATTCACTCTACCTGAAAATTTGGCTAAAGCTAACCTTGAATTTTTATCTTCGAGCTAGCTCGTATTTCAACTTTATCTCGAATTTCAGCCATTGCAAATTTTTAATTTTAATCCTCGATCTAGCTGTAAATTCAACGTTAGCTCGAAATTTGGTTTATTATTAGCTAACTTTGAACTTGTTTTTCCAACTAGCTCGAAATTGAAACCAATCTCGAAATTCGGCCTTTGCAAATTTTGAATTTCGATCTTCGTGCTAGCTCGAAATTCAGCTTATTTAAAATTTGGTTTACTTTGAATTTTGATCACAATTATATCTTGCAGGATTAAAAAAGAAAAATAGAACATAACTAGTATATCAGAAATTTAGGACATTCACAGAAGAAAATCAGTGATAATCGGTTATCACATCAGTGCACGTAGGCAGCTTCACCGTGTTTCGTTGGTTATCCTGATTGTTGCCACGTATGAGCAATCCAGGGCCTTGCATTTCTGGTCATTATTGTTACAAGTGAAAATGCATCCTGCTGACTGAAAAATTACATGAAACACTCCACTGAGATCTAAAGGCCTAATACACACAATTTGAAAATCCTACAAATATTAAGTGAAGCACTGAAAATGGAAAAAATCTGTAAAAGATAGGATAGAAATATACGCAAAATCAAATTATGAGTTGATTATTTTTTGGTTCATTTTTCGTCGGATTTGCGTAAAAAGTGTTTCATTTTTTTGGGTCGTTTTTCACAATGAAACGATTAGTTGAAACCCAGGTAAGTGGGTTTAAGACAAAGTTTTTTGGGCCCGAATTCATGTTTGTACACAAAACTCAGGAAAACTTTTCAAACCCTCATTGAAAAAAACAAAAAAACAAAAAAGAACCTTTTAAATTTTTTTTAAAAATGAAATTATTTTTGACATTAAAAAAAACCACGAAAATAAAAACGGAAATTTTCCGGGAGGGGGTGCCCCCAAGGTCCCAATTTGATGTTTTTATATACAAAAATAAAATATTCTAGAACAAAAAAGATTACTTTTTCAGATAAATAGTCTTCAAACACTTTGAAAATTTTTATTTGTTTTTGCATGGGGGACTTTTGGGGTACCAATGCATATAATGTATAAAAAAATCTGTGTTTTAAAGGTACGGTCGTAAATGTGTAGACATCTCCAAGGTGGGGGGGCTTTCAAAGACGTAAAGGCAGGTGTCTCTGTATTTCATTTCTAACATTTATACTTGAACGTGTCTGGTTTTAATTCATAAAGAAAAACGCGTTGAGCCTATATACATATACGCTTTACCACATAATTAGCATAATTTATAATTATGGCGCAGAAAAATTTGAAGTTTGTTTTAGGTATATATCACCGGTTATCTCATAAGCACAATCAGTGCCCTAATTGCATAACATAAAATTTTCAAAATTTTGAGGCACTTTCAGAGCGTGCTGGTGGTTGATTTCGCTGTTGCCACTGCTGCTGACCAGGTCCAGGCCTTGCGTTTGTGGTCATAATTGTTACAGGCGAGCCCGCACCCATCCGCTCAGGTACATTATATGCTTGAACTGAAATAATAAATAACATATACATATTTATAATCACCTGCATAATTTTAACAATCATTGCAAATCATATAACTCTATCTAAAGTTTCTTTATGATGAAAAAAGGAGAGGTGAAGAAATATATATATCATAGAATAATATTTTGCCATTCCTGCCGACATTGATCGTGCATATGGTATTCAACTCAGCGAGAGTCTATCATAAAACCTTGGCTCTTTGGAAGCATATAGAAAGCAATTTTTAAGTAATATAAATGACGTTAAATGTATAATTTATTTGAAAATTATTGATTTAAAAATAGAGTTATGTAAAGACAGTTTATTTAATTGGTCTGTAATTGTTAGAATCCAGCCCCATCTTCGAATATTTGAACTTGATTGTAAGACAAACTATAAATTTCCACTTCAAAAAAACTGATAATGGATTGTATATTTTTATTTAACCGTTACATTATTGATTGGTTCGCATGCCTGTTAAAAATAATATTTTTCTCAGCTGAATGACATCTACACGTATTCATTGCATCTATAATAAAAAATAAGACGGAAATTTCAGTAAAAGCGCAATTACGTTTGTTTTGTTTTTTTTTACGGCTTTTTTCAAACCCAGTATTTAAGTACATATAGGCGGGTGTTTTTTAACATCGTTTGAGATTACACCAGTATAGACTACCTTCCTCCCCCGTAAAAACCAAAACATCTCCCGGGGAGCGCAAATACAAATTTTATTAAATAAAGAAATTTTTTTTTTGGCCCAAAATTTTTTTTATAAACCCCCCTGTTTCCGTGATGTTATTTCCCCCGTGATTTTTTTTTGAGTCATTTATGGGGTAAATATTTACCCGTGGCTACCATGGGCCCGGACTATTGTCCGGGGTTGGGGCTCTAGGCTTCCGGCAACAACACAAATTTCGACAACAAAAGGAAATTTTAAAAGTCCTATAAAGAAAATCCGACCCAACACAATGCCCAAAGGGTCATTCCAACATTCCTGAAAAAAACGTAAAACCCAAAAATGGTAAATTTTAAAAATATTTTAATGTTTTCTAAAAGGGTTAAAACATAAATACGTGGTTTAAAAAGTAAATGCCCATGTCCTCGGACCACACGTCCCTCAACTCTGTAGGTTCGAATATCGCCAAGGACCTCAGATTATTTCTGTTTGTGCGAGAGGAAATACGGAGGCCGCGTATCAGCTCGTGTCTTAAATATAGCACAGAGGTGCAAATGAGGTTCCCGCCACTTAGAAACCTGGCAAATTCGCAATTTGACCTTTAAGTTAACAGTCTTCCTTACAGGTTAATCTTAATCATTAAACTCCGATATATATATTCAATCATACCTTTCCTTACATTCTTCCTTTCTTTTAGCATTTCACCTTAATTTTACTTTAGATTTTCTATAGTGATAATTCAACAATCTATTATTCTCTTATTCTTTGTTGTACATTCAAAGAGCTTACATTCTAACCGCAACATTTTTGTATCTTTATCTTGAAAATTACTTTTACTGGAGAGGAATTGATATAAGTATTGTTTTACGTGTTTTCAAATCCAGTCTGAATTACATTGTTGTGCAATGTTTGTAAATGTCATTTATGTACAATTTATTGAATAAATAAAGTTTAAACTAAGTTAACAGTCTTGATGTGACATCAGTTCAACCAAACGAGGACCTTTAGTTATACGATTAACTTTTAAGTGATGTAAAATTTATTCATCGGACGTGGTTTTACTCTATCACGAGAGAATAAATCACAAAAAGCAGTAACATTTCTGTCGCAAATTGTATGGCATATAACTGAAATGGCTGGTCGGTAGTTGGTACAGTACATTTTTGTTTCAGTCATTCTGAATTTTTGTTAAGATAACAATGTCAAAATAGCTGGGCACTTAACTAGATCAGTTGTAATCCTCTTCTGACGTGCACCACTTAAATAACGTTTGACAAACATATTTTTACTAAAGTGACATGATGATCATTTTGTCATTTTGTAGTTGAGCTGAAATGACTATATATTAAAAAAAATGTTGTAATATTGATTGACCAACGGTTGGTATTGGAAAACGTTTATAGGATAAATTTTAAATATCAAACTGCCTAAATTATAAAAAAGACTGCCCCAGTATTTTATATAAATTGAGCGTAACGAAGAGTAATTTAGAGAAATTTCCTTGGGCCAACTGAATTATTCATCATTCCTGCAAAGTAAATAATAACATTGAAGGAAAAATGGCAAAATGTAAAGTTAACTTATTTTTACTTTCACCTGATCACTCAATATATACCCTTGGATGGGGATTATGTCATTTTAAGAAATGTCTGCATTATCTTAGCAAAGCTATCTTAAAGAAAGGAATAGCAATTATTATGAATTCGCGCCCAAATGTATGCACAAAGAAACATTTACATAGATATACAAATGTATACAATATTGGAATCAACTGCTATGCAATCCTAACAAAATACTTAAAATACTATAAAACTTTTAAATCACACGAATGAAATATGACACAATGTATGGATTTAATTTATAAACTGTTAAACGTATTTATAAAGCTATATCTCTAAGTACTGTCCGTAATTCACAAAATATTTGTTTGAATTTTGGAAAAAAAGAATAATTCCAAAATGCATTAATGAAAGGAATTTTTTAGTATATTTCCTTTCGAGAGAATGGCACATACACACAATCCTTGCTAAACAGTTAATATCTACATAAATTTCAGCTTAATAGTTCGTTCCGGAACATAGTATTATGTTCACACATAATTTTTATGTGTGTTTAATAACAGGAATATTCTATGTTGCAACGAATTCGAGAATCGATCATGGGATTATGTAAACATCATAATTCTACCGGTTTTTTTAATCTTTTTAAATTATCTCATTATACCCTTTAATAAATCCGAATTTAAGAAAGAAAACAAAAAGAAAAAAAAAGAGAGAGAAAAAAAGAAAGAAAGAGAGAGAGAATACAACAAACACATGACACTGGCATTATTTGCGTTTGATAATGAAAGAAAAATTAATGACTTACACTGTGTACTCGGTACAACAATATCGATTGTCATAATTTCCACAACAACCATTTTCACAATATATCTGGCTATACCATCCATACGAAGTGTCAGACGATGAACTACAATGTGTCCCCGCAAATACGCCTGGAAACCAGAGCAAAAATAATGATAACATGTATTTAGTTATGAATTTATCACTAAATGAATGAATCGGTTGTTATTTCGACATTATGAATATCAGTCTGCCGGAAAGACAGCCAGCGCATTCGACTAATCTCGTTGCTTGAAAGAGTAATACACCGATTTTAAGTGCTTTTGAATTTGTTTCTTGGTACGGTATTGCCTCATTATTTTTTTTTTTTTTTCAGAACATATGCGTGAAATTGAGCATATTTTTATCTCTGCCGGTAAAACTGTAATCTGATTGAGGCAAAATAATAACACATATAGTAAGTATAATACCTTCAAGTATTTGACATTCTGAAAGAGGGTTTTGTTTTCATCAGAAGAGAGATGTTCGTTGCCGTAAAGAAGATTATTTACTGTGGCCGGACAATTTAAATTAGTGAGAAATCTTTCGCGTATATTTCTGTATTTGGTACATTGCAATAAGAAGTGAGATACAGTTTCTCTCATTCCGCATGTGCATGTTGGACTTTCCACAATGAGTAAACAGATCCTATTCTGAATAATCCCAATTTAAACTTGTGTGAAGGATTTATCTTTAGTGTGCCCTTTTTATAGTAACGGTGGGCTTTTATTTGGGGGTTTTTTTGCTTTAAAAGTTTAAATTGGCTAGAAAGGTTTCAAGGAGAAATTCCCCCGGGAATAGTGAAAGGTAGAAATGATTTTTAGTATAAAAAATGTTCTTTTGACTGGAGTTAACGTCAAATGTTTTAAGGTTTTTGTACTTTTTTGGTGGGGTTGAAGATTTTTAAAATAAAAAGGTGTTTTGGTTTTTTTATCATGATTAATTTGTGTTTTTCTTTATTTTCTAATGATTCCCACTTAAGTTCCTGATGAGTTTGTTAATATTACACCAGTTTGGTAGCGCCTGCGACAATTCTAGCTGCTTCATTTTGAACGGATTAATTTCCTTATTTAGTTCGTCAGTTAAGTTATCCCAGACTACATCAGCCCCCCCCCCCCCATATTCAAGAAGTGGGCGGACGAATGAATAATACATGCGTTCTAAACTTATTCGTGATAAAAGAAATTTAAAACTTCTGAGTAGTCCGATTCTTTTCCATGCCTTATCAAGTAAATAGATGAGTATGGGTTTTCCAACGGGCTCATGAGATAAAGTAACACCAAGATGTGATGTGACCTGAGATATTGGAATAGAGCTATAACTAAGTGTAGGATGAAACCGGTTTAGATAATTTCCTTGAAAAAGTAATTGTTTTTCTTTTTTTCTGGATAAAAGAAACAAGCCAAGTATTGCCCAAGAATGTATCCGATCTAAGTCTGAGTTAAGACTGGTTGCTGCAGTAAGTGGGTTATCTACGACTATATACAAACGCGTGTCTTCCGCAAAAAGTTTAATTTTAGAAGATATGTCATTTACGATATCATTGATGTAAACAAGAAACAAAAGGGGACCAATAATTGAACCTTGAGGGACACCTGCGGAGATAGAAACCCATGCTGAGGATACATTTCTGTACTGGACTCTTTGTAGCCTGCAAGACAAATAGGAGGAGAACCATTGAAGAAGCGATCCGTTTTAACCCAATGAAGATAGTTTGTAGAGAAGACCTTGATGCCATACTCGATCAAAGGCCTTGGAGATGTCACAAAATACAGCCCTAACCTCTTTACCCTGATCGAGAGTTTGACAAATATCATTGTATAGATAAACTAATTGATTAACTGTTGAGTCACCTCTTATAAAACCTGATTGTTGAGGAGTAAGCAAATTATTAGTGACAAGATGATTAAATACAGATACTTATGAACACATCTTTCCATCAATTTTCCAATACAGCTTAACAATGAGATAGGGACGTGTTGGATCAGATTTTTAAAAAATAAGAGTTACATTAGCAAGTTTCCAGGGTGTAGGAAAGGAAGAAGAACGAATAAGCTTGTTAAAAAAGGTTGCGAGTGGACTGGCTAAAACAGGCGCGGCTTCTCGTAGTAATTTAGGGCTTACAAGGTCTGGGCCACATGCTTTTGAGAGATCTATTAAGGATAATGAGTCAAGCACATCCTGCTGCGTTATGTTAATGTTTGATAGGCTAGGAATGTTTGTTTCAGTAAGGGGTTGAAGTGCTGAATCCTTATCATCTACCTTTGATTGCGAACTAAAGAAATCGTTTTGAATTTCTACCTTCTCTTGATCGGATGATGCAATGATATTGTTGTAATTTAGTGAAGGTATTGAATTTGAGGATTGCTTCTTTGTTAATGTTTTTACTACATTTGTACAATTCTTTGGGGTTTACATTATTTGAGTTGATTTTTTCAATTAGTTTATTTTGATACATTAATTTAGATTTTCGTATTAGTGTAGTGACATCGTTTCTAATTTTTCTAAATTTTGACCAATAAAAATCGGTATTGTTTTGTTTGGCTTTTGTGTGAAGTTGGGCTCATTTTCTGATTATTTTACGGATATCGTTATTCATCCAAGGGATGTCACCAGGTCTTATAGTTACTTCTTTGTTAGGAATAGTTTCGGATGCTACTTGGATAATTGTTTTAGATACAATGTCCGCTGACTCATCTACGTTGTCATTAGATAAAAGAGAATGCAAGTCTGATGACCTTAGTTTATCTCTGAAAGTGTCGTATCATATACATATTATCTTCGGACTAAATGGAGTATATTGTCAAAAATAAATGTAAAATTCATAAAAACACCATACTTGTGGTTTTGCAGCGGCACGGGCTACCTCTCTTCATTTGAATTTTTATATCACAGGCACCCTTTCATTTTTGAACTCATAGGTACTCTCAAAGCACGACATATGCTTTTATTTGCGTTTTACCTAAAAACCACCAATTTTACATTTATTTTGGCGGAAAAATACGCTTGGTAGTGGCCTGTTGTTCGCCTAATCAGGATGATAATGGTTAAAATGACAAACAGGTAAAGGATGTAACTAATGATAACTATGGGGATGGTTAAGTTATTCTACATGTATATATCTAATATAACTAATTCTTTATCTTTCAAAAGTGTTTACATTAGGAAGCAAAGTGGCATAAAAGTGGTTAATATTTTTCACAATCATTCATTGGGTCAAGTTTAATCTTACGATGATATCACAGTTTCGATTGAATGCTCATGTGGCTTATACGGACCTTCGTTAGCTATTTCAGAAATATAAGGCGTCTAGTTAAAGATATACATACAAGTATGGGCTTTTGTATGGGCAATCTGACTTTAAACAACTTGCCTCTCACTGCTGTGGCTTTGAAACCCCGCTAGGGATTATTCATAAGATGAAGCTATCCATCTAGCTAACAGAATGTCGGTGGGTTTACACAGGTGCCCGTCCGAGCAAATAATGCATTGACGGGCACCGGAGGTCTTTCAAGTCAAGCTTTAAAGTCGCCGTATGAGCTTTATCAAGTTGGTGCAGTGTTCCCTCCCCCTCAAATAATAAATAAACAAATAAATAGATAAATAAATAATGAATAAAGAAAAAATGATTAAATAAATATATAAATAAATAAATCACAATGATAATAATAATAATAATAATAATAATAATAATAATAATAACAATAAATAAATCAATAATGAATAAATAAATGATTTATAATAATAATAAAATAAATTAATGAATAGTATTAACGTCTTTCATTGAAATTGTAAATATCACTGATAGAATTTGAAGTTCCTATGAGACGAGTTTAGAGCTATATGTTTTACAACGATCCTATATATTTATTTCAGTTTTTTTTTCTTCATGTGTAACTCCATTCTCACGAAAGTGTATTGTTATAAAATGTATAAAATAATCACCTGTTAATCCCGCAAACAGAATTACTGTAATCAGAAAACTACCCGCCATCTTTACTGTGTGACAGAGGTTCACTTTTTGACGAATATAAAGTCCGACAGATAACAAGTAAATTCGTTGAACTGATATTTTCCTTCCCCGTAAGATAAAAAAAACACTTGACCGAACACCTTTAGTTATCTGAGATGCATAATAACATGATAATAGTGAACTTGTTTTGATAATTCTTCTTTTAATGATACAAATCACATAAAATTCAAAAGTGTCAAGTAAAAAAAGATGAGGGAACAAGTAAGAGAACTTTAAAGAAAATAATATTATTTTGAGATGCATGTTCAAATGTATAATTTAATGGCAAACAAATATCATTAGGAAATTGCTTTATGTCACTTTGCAATTGGTCATTTACAAAGTGAACACAATTACAATTACAGGAAAGTTAAGTTGTACAATTTTATGCACAAATATACTGAACGTAGTTAGACCAAAAATAAACTTATTATCAAGCAGGATGGATCGGACAATTTATAGGAGACGAGGCACTATACACTCCTAAAATGAGTCCTATGGCAAAGAAATATCTTTAAAATTAATACTATAGTATAATATATGAGGTGTAAAGAAGCAACCGATTACCAAATACAAGGATCAATATAGATCTAATAATATTATTACTTTATGCAGAAAGACAAGAGCAGTAAGGCAAAGTGACAATCCCCCCCGGACAGGTTTCTAAAGTTTTTCAGATATTATGAAAAGAAAAAGAGAATGAAAGCAACTAATTGCTCAATATTTTTCCTGTGAAATGAAATGTTATTTATAGCAAACTTACCACCTTCCGACACGGTTCTCGGAATCGAAACATCATCTTGATGTGGTAGACATTTATCCCAAGTTATTCCAAATCCTCCAATGCTTGACAATGTTACAGTTTAGAAACTAATGTGTACATTCAAACTCTTTTTATGGGCATATGAACCTTCAAACTATTATAGTGACCTTGACCTTGGAGGTGAAAACATGGGTCTTACTCACAACACGTCGTTTGGATGTGGTAGATATTTGTGAAAAGTTATTTTCGCATGACAAAGTACCACTCGACACGAATGTGTATCTTTAAACCCTTCTTGAGAAAATAAGTAACTTCCATGTAAGACTGACCTTGGAGGTAGGGACATGGGTCTTGAACTTGACATGTCGTCTTCATGTGGTTGGCATATATTAGTATGCTACATTATTAATTTTAAAAATCCTACCGTGAGTAAAAAAGTTACAATCCAGGCACAAATGTGTGTATTTTTAAACTCTACCTTTGAGAATGTGAAACCTTAAAACTGTGTGACCTTGACCTTTGACTAACAGATATAGATCTTAAATGAAACACATCACTATGATGTGTTTAACTTTTGTGCCAAGTTTTTAAAAAAAATATTTCCATGCATGACAAAGCTACAGTTTGGTCACAAATGTTTACACTCAACCTCTAAGTATGACCTTGACATACAAGGTAGTGATATGAGCCTTAGCCGCGATACATTGTCTGCATGTGGTAGACACTTTTGCCAAGTAATTTAAAAATCCTTCAATGAACAACAAAGTTACAGTGCATCATTCAAATTTTAGGTCTGACCTTGACATTGTAGTTAGAGACATTGGTATTGAACCCAACACGTGCTGATGTTGTAGACATTCATGCCTATTTCAAAATCATTTGATGCATGAAAAAGTTACAGTCCGGACACGAATGTGTGTACCTATAATCTCTAATTGTGCCAACGTGAAACTTCAACCAATTTTTACCCTAGGCCTTTTATTTGAACTAACTTGGTTAACACTTACTACAAAATGTTCCATGCCACATAACTAACCTCTAGCTCTTTCGGTTTTTTTTTAAAGATTTTTTTTAGTTTTCACTATATACATATGAGGAAAATCAATGACCCTTGGGGCGGGGCCAATTTCATCCTAGGGCTTTTATTTGAACAAAGTTGGACATCCACTAGAAGATGTGTCATGCCCAATATCTAAGCTCTAGCTCTTTCGGTTTTTCACAAGGCGATTTTTTAAGATTTTTGGAAACAAATCTTCCGGTTGCCATGACAACCAGAGTTCTTTATGGAATTTAATTCTTTTAACAACTTTGATAGAACTTCATGCAATAAACATTCCAAACAAATTTGGCCGTGTTGTTCAGGAGGAGAAGTTGTTTAAAGAAATTGTTGACGCATGGACGGACGGTTGACGACGGACAATGGGCCATCACATTGTCCTAAGGTGAAGTAAAAAGTAACAATTTGTTTTCAAATATACATTTTAAAGCAACAAAGAAGAACATTATAACAAGATGGCCATAATGGCCCTTATATGGCTCACCTGATTATAAAAGCCCAATCCTATTGTATTTGGGCTGTGTGACCTAGTTGTTAACCACAGATGACCCGTATTTAAATTCGACCTTGAAATCACCAAAACAACCTTTCTGACCAATTTTTAGGTTAATATTTGGATCACAACAGTAGCCTCTAATGTGATAACAAGGTTTTTCAATATAAGGGCAGTGTAACCTGGTTTCTGAACACAGGTGACCCTTATTCAAACTTGACTTGGAAATCATCATAACAACCAATTTTCAGGATATTTTGTCTGGACTGTAGCCGGAATAGTGTAAACAAGGTTTTCCAATATTTAGGCTGTGTGACCTAGTTTTTGCCCCAAGGTGATCAATATTCGAACTTGACCAAGAAATCATCATTTCAAGTACATTGACCAATTTCCAGAATATTTGGTTCAAAACAGTAGTCTCTACAGTGTAAGCAGGGGTTTTCCATATCTGGGCTGTGTGATCTAGTTTTTGACCCCAGATGCTCAATATTCAAACTTGACCTAAAAATCATCATTTCAACCTTATTGACCAATTTCCAGGGTATTTGGTTCTAATCAGTAGTCTCTACAGTGTAAGCAAGGGTTTTCCATATCTGGACTGTGTGACCTAGTTTTTGACCCCAGATGATCAATATTCGAACTTGACCTAGAAATCAATAAAACAACCTATTGACCAATTTCCAGGATATTTGGAACAAAACAGTATCCTCTAGAGTGTCAGCAAGGTTTTCCCATATTTGCCTGTGTGACCTAGTTTTTGACCCCAGGTGACCCATATTCAAGCTGGACCTAGAAAGCATCAAAGCAATCTTTCTAGCCACTTCACAGGATATCGGGATCAAAACAATAGCCTCTATCTAGAGTGTTAAAAAGATTTTTCTATTTTTAGCTCCTGTAACCAAGATGACAAATGTTTGAACTCATCCAAGCAATTATATACAGACATGCATCCTGACCAATCTAAATTTCAAGTCTGTATGTCAAATAACAAGAAAGTCGGTCAAATGATATCAAAAATATCAAAATTAGGTCAGCTGATATCAAAATTCAGTTCATGATTTGGTTCAAAATTCGTGCCTGTACGTAAAACAGCAAGAAATTAGGTCAAATGATATCAAAAATAGGTCAGCTGCTATCAAATTTAAATTCAGCATCAGTTATCACACCCCTGGTCCAAATATCAAGTCTATATTAATGCTCTCCATGGCAATGAACAAGTAATATTGTAAACAATAAAGAAAAACAGATAGAAATTCTAAAAATCTTAATCTAATATCACAAAGTTCATATTTGTAACTGAAATAGTGCCCATGTGAAAAAAATACTGGTTGCTTTTGTTAGGGGGACACAAGTTCCTTTATAAGTCACTGGTTACTGTACAAAATAAATGGTGGGTTTGCTATTAAAGTCATTGGAAGATAGATATTGTTTGCGGTGGAAGTCACTGGTTGCCATGAAATTTTACAGTTCTATTAAAGTAATTAAGATAGTTACCACACGTAATGAAATTCTATATATGTATATAATTATGCTTCTAAGACAATTTTCAAACTTCGAAGAATATGTAAAATATGTAATTCAAATATTTGTTCACATTATATGTAATCATTAAAATATATGCATTCATTTCATTTTGAAAATATTGACTCAGACTTCATAGAAAATAAATTTCTAATTACCTCCCTTTATTAACATCAAATGTAAATTAGGTAGTATCTTTACAAATAATGCTTTTTGGAACTACAATATTGATAAATCTTCATTTGAGCATTATATTTATGATAATTATAAAACCATAAAAATTGAGTTACAGGATCTTTAAATAAATAAATAGCTGCTATGAAGTAACTTAATGCTATGGAAACAAAGCTTTAGCTTCAAATCTGTAGAATTCTGAAGTTTTAACAAAACTGTATACTGATGTTCCCCGGGACAGGGCCAATTTTGACATGAGGGCTTTGATTTGAAAAAAAAAATGAACAGGTCCAAGAGCATCAGATTAAAAATATAAAACCATAAAAAAGTTGTGTTACAGGGTCTAAACATGGCTGCAGTTTAAAGTGCATTTACAGAAATTACACAATGTAAATATAACAGGATAATTACAACTTAAAGATAGCTAGTAAGTGTATGGAAATTCTTCTACCCCATATTACATACACTTACAAGTAGCTGTTGTTTTAAACATCAGACATAGCTTCAACACATCTTAGCCATCTTTGTAGTATACCAATACATCATAAGAGGTAGACTCAGATCATAATAGAGACATCATAGTTTCATCAAGGGATCCTTTGTAAGTATCTGGTCATCTTGTCAGGATATTTATATAACCAGGATTTATACAACCTATTACTTAGAATAGAGTGTACAATTGTAGGTAAGTCCTGCATTGGTAACACAGGAAACTGGTAAGAGACATCAGTAACTCGATTAACATGTAAACGTCATTTAATAATGTGACATCATATATAACAAGTGCATCTCAATAAATATGTATATGATATCCGCTGACAATACTACTCTGTGACGTAGATCTATCGATATAAACGAATTAATATCGGCATTAACAATTCTTCTTCGATGGATAAAATACCGGCATTGACAATACTCGACAATAGAGGACCTAGGCTTATGCAATGGGATCTTCTTCGGTTATGAACATTTAGTTACAAATAAATGTAAAGTATGACAGGATGTTGGAAATTTCTAAGATCAATGCATCTTTTAGGGTCTGCCATAACGTGATAA